TTAGTACTATCCGACGACTATTTATCTTATCCGACTGAAATAGTCAATATAGTCCGAAGTACCAAACGAGGCTAAAAAAAAAATTTCGCGCTGCGCGCGCTATGACCCCATAAACATTTTTTCTTGGATCCGCCACTGATCCCTGAGCATCAAGAATCGAACCCAGGATATGTCGTGTGAAATACAAGCTTGAAATTCATCCACAATCACTGAACCACCTGGTTCTCAGAGTTAATTTCAAGTTCTGTTTTTTGGAGAGCAAACATATATTTTTTTTAAAGTAATTTCTTGAAAAGGGGAATGGATCAAATTGTTTGGTGCACCTAGTCTGTTGCCTTGTAAATTTTTAGCATGATTCTACAAAAAGGAAAAAAATGGTCCAAGCATATATGTAGCAATGACTTTTTTTTTTTTTAATAAGAAAGTACAATATTCATTAATATGGAAAAATGCGTACAAAGAGAGGATATGGTGCTAAAATGAGCCTCAATAAAAACCTTGTCGGGGATTTCAACCCGGTCTAAGAGAAAAAGAGTGTCTTGCACAAATAGTTATCATCACCGTAACGTAAATGGTTACACTTGATTGTCTTCTAATAAAGCATCTAAAATAAAAACTGGGGGAGATTCAACCCACCTATCTTCACTAGAAACACCCAAACCAGCACGAGCTAGCCTGTATGCTACGTTGTTTGCTTCCCGATGCACAAAGTTCATCGATGTTCCCTCCATGCTGCGTAAAACTCATTTGATGTTGTTAATTATAGGTCCGAATAATGAACAAGCATCCTCGGAACGATTCACGGCTGCAAGCACAAACACTTAAGTCTCCCTCCAAAATTGAATTCGAACTAGCACTTTGGAATTCCATTAGGAGCTTTGCTGCTCTTCTAGCAGCAAGCAGCTCAGCTTGTATAGGTGAATTAAAATGGAAAAAATGCCCACCCAATCACGTATTACCACACCATATCCTCCCCGATGTGACCATTCATGCCACGCTCCATCAAAATTACACTTCAACCCTCCTGAGTTCGGTTTAGTCCACCGTTATCATGTCTGAGCTTTACTTGATCAATCTGGAGAATGCCATTTCTAATATTCCTGAAGCCTACTCTCAGTCGCGATCAAAATCTTCGTTGGGGGAGTAAGATTTACATACCAAAGTAGTGCGTTCCTTACACCCCAAATACTTGACACCAACATAAGACATAAGTCAAAAGCCTGCTTTGGCATTTTTGTGCAACACCCAAAATCTATGCTCTGAAACTAGTTACAAGTGCCTCACGGACTCGTAGCCCCAATCCCGCTAACCACACCACAGCAACAAAATCAGAGTCTCGCAGTATATGGTCAATAGTTTCCGGGTTGCTTCTACAAAAAACACACTTCATATCTTGTAACAATCATATTCTTACTAGTTTTGTACGTGTGGGGAGACTATCCTAACATCCCCGCCACACACAAATTTGAACCTTTCCAGGAACCTGAGCTCCCCATAGCCGCATCCACAACACTTGCTCATCTCTACTAGCCCGGGAACGCTCAACTTCAACACCTATCAGACACACATCTTGTCAAGCAACATGATAAGCAGTATATATCGAGAATTTGTCATTTTCTCATGATGTCATATAAGTCTATCACAAGTGGATCGAAAGCTAAGTGGGATGCTTAGAATTAGCGCCATTTCCTCTGCGTTAAATGCGGTGTTCAGCAAGTTTTGACCCATCATTGCATAACAGGGCAGATTAGGTGATCCACCATGGTCTTTAATCCCCAAGTTGTTGGGCATGGGGTAATAAAGCGAAAGAAGTTTTCCCTAGGAATCTAGCTATCTTTCCAAATCTTCACCTCATTCCCACAGCTGAGCTGCCATCTCAAACCTTGGTGTATAACATTCCTTGTTGTCGCAATGCTCTTCCAGCAATAGGAAGCATTAGCTTTAACAGGAGCATTCAAAAAATTAGTTATCGTTAAATATTTTGCTTTGAACACCCTATATGCAAGAGACTTCATACCTTGGACAAATCTCCAAGCCTGCTTGGATAGTAGTGCAATATTGAATGCATAAAAATCTCGAAAGCTAAGACCACCTTTAATCTTGGGCTTACATAATATACATCAATTTAACCAATGCATTTTCCTCTTCCATGGATCACCGTTCCACCAATACTTAGCGATCATCATGTTTAGCTCTTCACAAAAGGTTTTTGGAAGTAAGAAACATTGCATCGTATACAACGTTAGAGCCTGGGCAACAGTCTTAATTAAAACTTCTTTCCCTACACTACTCAGAAAACCACCACGCCATCCATTTAGCCTCTTCCATAAGCAAACATTTCTTCTTGGACTTATGAATGAAGATCGTCAAACCCAAATAAGGATCATGGAAGGCCACTCGTTGCATACCCAAGAATTTGGCTAATAGCTGCTGGTTTATGTTCGTGGGGTTGGAGCTAAAAGACTCACAGCTTTTGGTAAGGTTCAGTGCTTATCTCAAGACCATTTCGTACGTCTTCAATGCTCGCTTAATATTACCGCATTCTTCGAGTGTCCCACGAGCAAATAAGAAACTACCATTAGCAAAGAGTAAGTAGTGAATCATGGGTGCATCTCGGCAAACTCTTACCCCATTAATCCTCCCCTCACAACCTTCTTTTGTGAGCAATGCCGATAGACCCTCCGAGCAAATTACAAATAGAAACGGCGTAATCGGATCGCCTTGTTGAATACCTCTTTTAGGTTGGACATAGCCCACCGGCTCTCCATTAATCTTGAAAGAATATGATACGGAAGTGATAAACACCATAATCAGCCAAATCCATCCCTCTGAGGAACCCAATCTTCGCATCATTTCCTCCAAACAATTTTATTTAAGGCGGTCATACGCCTTACTAATGTCAAGTTTTAGTGCCATAATTCCATTCCACCCAGACATACGTTTATGCATATAATGAGCAATCTCCGCAGCCACGATAATATTATCGGAAATAAGCCTCCCCGGAACAAACGCACTTTGGGAATGCAATATAATATGAGGAAGAATACATTTGAATATATTCGTAAGTACCTTGGCCACAATCTTATATAATACATTGCATAAACTGATAGGCCGAATATGACTCATCTTCTTTAAAATTTTAACCTTCGGAATTAAAGTCGTGTGTAAAATTCACTTTCCTAAGCATCCTCCCTAACTGCAGTAAGGACCTGACTCCATTACAAATGTCAACACCAATTAGTGTTAAATCATCCAGACCTGGAGCCTTCGTAAGGATTCCTTATCCGTTGTAGGTTGCATAAGATCCTCATTCATTTCAGGTGTGACTTTAGGCGCAATATTCTCAAGTAGTGCGGCTATATTCTCTCCCCCATTTGTATTAAATAACCTCGAGAAATAATACACCACAACCTTCTCCATTCATGGTTTATCATCATGTCAATCACCGTTCCTATCCTGAAGCCCATGCAAAAAGTTTTTTCTTTGTCTCTGATTAGCCTTTTGATGGAAATATCTCGTGTTACGATCACCAGATTTCAACCAATTTTCCTTCGAGCATTGCCGCCAAAACATTTCTTCTTGTTCAAGTAACATATTTAGCTTACCCATCAACTTTTTATTTTGCCCTATTGTTTCCTCTATGAACGGTTGACCGAGAAGACTTGTAATCTTATCCTCAATCTCCTTAATCTCGTTAGGCCCCGGTCGCCCATTTTGTCTAGCCCACTGAGACAGCGAGTAACTTTAATTTTTTTGGTAATTTGAAACATTGAAACACCATGCACCTCACATGCCCATCCTTGGTTGACAACCTATTTGCAGCCCTTCTAAGAGCTCCACCAATTTTCATAACGGAATAATTTCTTTCTCCTAGCCGAAACCCGCCCATCCCAACATACCAAGATCGGAATATGATCCGATGTGGCTTTATTTAAATGAAATACCTTAAATTTCGAAAACTAGTCCATCCAAACTTGGTTTGCCATTGCCCGATCTGGTCTGACCTTAATGCCCGTCCCTAGTAGTAAACCAAATAAATTTATTGCCAACAAAACCAAGGTCATTTAAATTACATCTCAGCACACTATCTTGAAAACTCTTCGTTTGAGATGTTCTTCGAGGGTTGCCCCATTCCTGTTCGCTAGCTTGTAGAATCTCATTAAAGTTGCCCAAGCATAACCAAGGTTTATCTCCATTTTCCCGCAACGCATCTAACAGTTGCCAAGATTTGTACCTATCACAAACTACTGGAAAACCAAAAAAACATGTGATCCGCCAGTAATCAACGTCTCCTATTCCACCCACATCCAAGTCTATATGGTTTTGAGAATATGATTGTAAATTCAAATCGATATCGTCCTTCCAAAGCACACATAACCCACTTGATCGACCTCTACTTGCCATTGTAAAGCTTCTATCAAAATTCAACTTCTTTCTAAGTTTTTCTATCTGAGCAACATTACTTCTTGTGTCACATACAAAAAACAATTGTGGGATCTTTACTTGATATTAATCGTTGTAGCGCTTGAACTAAACGAAGGTTCCCAAGCCCCCTGCAGTTCCAACTGAGGTAACTCATTGTGGCCGGCGGGGCTGATCACCATCAGCCACCGCTGTTAAAACATCTGAACTAGCAGAAATTTTGATTTTACGTCTCAGAGAGACACCTCTAGATAACTTCCCTTCCTCCCAACTTTGTTTTCCCCCTACTTCACCATTTGGTCCAAGAAACAATCAAATTTAACAAAGAAATACAGTCCATAATTCTAAGAGGTTGGGCCTGCAGATGATGGGGCTTCACTTAACAATTGGGCGGCAAAATAGTTGCCCGCCAAGAACCAACGAAGAAACCCAACCAGCAAAATCAAACACAAAGATAAAATAATAAAATGGCGCAGAAAGGTAAATTTTGCAAAAAGCAGCCCCTTTTACAAAAATGCAACATTTTTAACCAGATAAAGCCACCTTCACCTTTCGTCCCTCTTTTGTCCCTTCGCTCACTCAGAGAGTCCGGGCAGGCAAAAAAACAAAAGCTCAAAGCAAAAAATTCAAAAGCTCTCTCAAAGCTCAAAGCTCAAAGCTTTGCTTTTCCATTTCTCTCTGTTGCATGTACCTGCTCTCTTCATAAACCCTAACTCGCTTCCCACCGACTCACCTCGACTCGGCCTTACTCGCTCACTACCTCCTCCTTTTCCTCCCATGGCCAACAACCCCTCGGAGGCCCAGGCCGACGATTTCCTCGAGCAAATTCTCGGCCTTCAGAACTTCGCTTCCGCCGATGCTAATTTGGCGCGAAGCGATGGGGGTTTGGCTGGAGGTCAAGTGTCTCAGGCGTCAATGATGCTGCAGCTGAACTCCGGCAACGGCTCAGGCCACATAGGCGGCGGCGGTGGGGGGTTCCATGGAGGGGTGTTTCCGTTGGGGTTGAGCTTGGAGCAGGGGAAAGCTGGGTTTTTGAAGCACGAGGAGGCTTCTGGGAGCGGGAAGCGGTTCCAAGACGACGTCGTTGATAGTCGAGGTTCATCTGTGAAAAATGTAAGTTTTGTTTGGGTGGTTTTTTTTTGTTTTTTTTTGTTAATTCAAAAGTTTAACACTTCATATGCTTTAATTATAAAGTTAATCAATTTTTTTAATTAACTGTTTTATTTGTTTGCTTAATAAGCAAGAAGACAAAGGAATGGAAACAAGAAACTTATAAGAAATTGGGTTTTGATTGATTGGGTGAGAGTCAAGTAGTGCTATCTGACAAGAAGCAAGTTACAAGAGGATGCTTCTGGGTTACTTGAGAGAAATTGGTGCTAAATGGCCGGCCAGAATCAAACAGAAAACTCACAATTTTTTGGCATAAAAACCAATTATACTTAAGCATTCTGATGTCAGAGAAGATGGAAGCATGTGAAAAGTGATGGGTTTGCTTGTGATTTTAGAGAGAGTGTGTGTGTGTGTGTGTGTGTGAGAGAGAGAGAGAGTATCTAACAGTAGTGATTAAATGTTTTATACTTTTATGTAATTCTGTTTCTCAATTGAGTACAATTCCGGCAGGCCTTCGAAACTTTAAGACCAAGAATAATATTTCTGCTTTCCTCGGAAGATGTTGGATTATGGAAACAGAAGTTCGTAACTAATCTTTAACTATGTATGTATAAGTATGATGTTTGGTTATGGAAATTCGGAACTTGGATAGGCCAGCTTATTTTATTGAAAATGTTTGATGTAATTTACCTTTTGGGTTTTGCGGTGTTGTGCGTTGTTGAGGAACTAGCTCACTTTCTTTCGTTACAACTGTCCTTAGTAATATAAACTATATCGTTTTACAGGTTTTCCATGGCCAACCTATCTCAAATACAGTTGCTGCAGCACCACATCCACCAGCAATGCGACCAAGGGTGCGAGCTAGAAGAGGACAAGCCACCGATCCACACAGCATTGCCGAGCGGGTAAGTTTGCTATAGTTTACACACACAAAATTCCTTGGAAATGTTCTGAAACTATGTTTTAATTTTTAATTTTGTACCTTTTATTTTCCTTTCCCTCCTTTATGATTATTGTGGAATTATTCTTGATTCGCACCTTTTCTGTGCAGTTGCGCCGAGAAAGAATAGCAGAAAGAATCAGAGCATTGCAGGAACTAGTTCCTAGCGTCAACAAGGTCAGTGACACTCCTTTCATGTCGTGTTTTTCATTTCACGCTCACTAGAAACATATTGTTTTATGTAGTATGAAGGGAAGGAAGGATTCCCTTGTTCTCCAAGTTGATAAAAGTTGTGCACAAGCTATCCTAGTAAAACTTGAATTGTTACCAATTTGATAATATGTTAAATCATTTAAGAGAATACCCCTTTGGAAACCCGGATAATAAATCCAACTTAGATGTAGTGAATATGGTGGTCTTGTTCAGAAAGTTCAGAGACATATACTTTACCTCAAGTGTTGTTCTGCAGTGTTGAATGAAAAAATTGGGGACTGAATCCTTCTTAAGTTTATAGAAATATTCACCTTTTTCCGCTATCAGTTTTTCTTAAAATAATTTCTTCTGCAACTTACTAAGCTGTCGCAAATGTTGCATGCATTCGAAGAAATTTTATGGATGTATAAACTACATGTTATGACTGTCGTTAGAAGCAGTACAGAAAAACATAATGAAAGAGTGGTATGTATGTGGAAATAGTGCTTACAAAACTGACCTTTTATTATGATTCCTCCAACTCATAGGATAGTTTTATTTGTGTAAAAATAGTTTAGTCTCAGGTACTACGAAGTTAAGAAATTGAATATGTTGTCCGCAATAAAATGTTACGACTAGTTGCTTCATTGCCTAATAGTTTGGGTGATTGAGCGTTACTGTTCATAAGGAATTCAACAGAGCTTGTTAATCCACACAATGGTTTCTTGTGACTTTTTTAGTGATTATATATAAAAATTTTAACAACATACTAATGGCATTCCAGAAGGTTGTTATCTGACAAATAAAAAAAAGGTCGTACCCAGTGCACAAGGCTCCCGCTTTACGCAGAGTCTGGGAGAGGTGAATGTCGGCTAGCCTTACTCCCATTTATGAAGAGGCTGCTCCCAATTGTTATCTGACAAATGCTGTAGCAAAATAATTTCAATGCTGGTGCTTTATGGATTTGCATATTGTTACGGCTTCTTGAGACCTCATCATCTGTGTTCTATGTGCTTATGTTTTGTGCAGACAGATAGAGCTGCCATGCTTGATGAGATAATGGATTACGTGAAGTTCCTAAGGCTCCAAGTAAAGGTAGAGTTGTTTCAAGTTTAATGCATGTTTTCTTTTTCACGTACATGATAGAATTCCTAATTACTCAATCCTCTCATCTTTGTCCGTTTTACATTCAATTTTTTACTGAAACTTTTTGGCACTTAATATGGTCATTAATTCTTAAGCGATTGTTATTCCATAAAGGCTTACTTTCCTTTGATATTAACATTTTCTGATAAACTGGTAGAAAATCCACATGATTGAGCATAGTAAAGAAAAAAACTGAATACTTCCCATAGACATTTGCTGTGCAATCAAATACTGGAAGTTGGTTTCAGATTTCCTAATGTTCATACAAGTGTGTTGTTTTCTTTGGTAAGATATCGAATCAAATTATTGTTGTTATATTGAACAACACAATGAAAGGATAGATTTCATTTTTTTTTTTATTTTGGTCTGTTTGACCAATTATTTAAGACCCAAACAAACGACTATTCTGATTTGTTAGGCATGCGGGCATAGTGTGGAAGTAGTTCTTCTTATGATAATGAAAGAAGTGTAGGTTTTTTGTTCTTTTCTTATTAATGCTTTAGTCATATCCTTTACAGGTTTTGAGCATGAGTAGATTGGGCGGAGCTGGTGCTGTGGCACCACTTGTAACGGATATTCCACTATCTTCCGTTGAGGTAATAGATGATAACATTTTATATTTCCTAGGGTCTGTTTTCTATCTTCTTATAACCAGACACGGTCCTGATCTAATGGCAGGAAGAAGGTGGCGAAGGTGGTAGAAACCAACCGGCGTGGGATAAGTGGTCTAATGATGGCACAGAACGACAAGTGGCTAAGCTTATGGAAGAAAACGTTGGGGCTGCAATGCAGTTCCTCCAATCAAAGGCTCTCTGCATCATGCCCATCTCACTGGCCTCAGCAATTTACCACACGCAATCACCGGACACCTCTAGCGTTGTCAAGCCTGAAATGAACCCTCCTTCCTAAGACCCCAGAAAATGGTAGGTATGCATTCCCGCAGTCCCACCCGAAAACTCACTAGATGCTCTGGGGTCCCACTCCCATATTGGTCGTTTTCCAACCTGCCATATCTTAAGCTTCAAATTGCATTCAAAGTCAGATGCCATAGTTGTTGCTTTTTGCCTTTTGCTTTCAACTTTTGTCAAAACAGGGATCGATGTCAATGCTCTCAACAAAATAGAGCTGGCCCTCCATGTCTTGCCAGCTTCAAGTCAAAAGGAGAGGAATTGTCAAAGATCACTTGATATGCTCTGCTTTTTTGCATCAATGGTGGGAGTAGTGGAAAATGATGGAAAGCCCTTTTGTAGTGGAGGTTCTCTCGTTGTTTTTGCTTAGTGGGTTGTGGGACCTACCTAATAAAAGGATTTAGAGGAGTATATATGAACAGTATTGTTTTTTATTTCTTCCTATGTATGTTTAGAGGAATGTAATATAGAGTTGGGATAAAGAATGAATAATAGTTGTTTAGTTTGAAAATTCTGGGTGTTAGACACGTGAAACAGGAACGTTAAGGTGACAGCATATAGAACTTAACATGTGATGCGTGTTTTAATTTTTATAGCGTGCCGTGTTTGATAATAAGGTGTGAGATACGGCCACCTTAGCGTTTCTTTTGTGCAAGTCCAACAGAAAAGTAATTAGACTTATTTTTCAATTCTTCCGAATCATCATTTGAGGATAATAATCATTGAGAGAGAGAACCCTACGCTAGCCCTGAGTTATTATTTTTTTTGCAATTAAACCATCGAAGTCAAGTATTATTGTTAAAGTTTGGCATTGCAGCACAATAAGGGCCTTCGAAGTCTAAGGTCTCGTTTAGATGTACTTTTAAAATGGTTGAAAGCGTTTTTAGAGAAAGTGTGTATGGGTTTGAAAAACACTTTCAAGTGCTTTTTGCAAGAAGCATTAGTTATGTGCTTTTTTCATGAAGCACTTTAAGTGTTTTTTCAGGATTTATTTGCATTTTTACTGAGAATTAGTTCCAAAAATATTTTCACCAAAAGTTCTTTCAATAATTTTAAAAGCATATCCAAACGAGCTCTAAATCTCGTTTTGGAAAGTGCTTTTAAAATGTTTGAAAGAACTTTTGATGAAATTGTTCAGAAAGCTTAAAAATAGAAAGAAAGGGAATAAGAACCGGTAGTCCCTCTTACTCGATTCGATTGTCTTGTTTTTTTTGGTATTTTATTAACGATTCTATGGGAAATTTTGTACTTTTCTGATGCCTTACGTGTAAGTAAACGCCAACAAAAATTAAGGAACTAAATGATTCCCTTACCCATATTAAACGCAAGGAACTTAAGAATTAAAATGATTCCAATTCCTATTTCTTGACATAAAATTTGGCAAACTTTGAAAACGCGATGTTACAGTGGGACACGAAAATATAATTTAGGGTGCAAGTTAGGTCGAAATTAAGGACTAGTAGACATTCAAGCTCATTATATTGGTAGAGAGCAGGTCCTCCGGGATTATTGGCTACGTATCCAAATAATCTTGTATTTAGAGGCGATCCAAATAATGTATTAGGTCGTCACTTAGTACTACGGTCTACTGATATTCTTTTTCACTCACGAGTGAGAGATCTTAAGTTAAATTCTCACCAAATGCAAATTTGAACCACATTATTACTAACTTATTGTGAGGCTAAACCCGCCCCCAAACTTTTGAACACCGTCCATTCTATGGAGAAACAACCATCGATGGAAGAGTGGGTCCAGGTGGTTAGAGTTCCCGTCTCGTACCTCTCAAGGAAGAGTGATCCATGGCAATATACTCAACAATATATATATATATATATATATATATATATATCTGAGATACGCAGTTGAAATTAGGTTAAATATTTGTTCCTCAATTCAATTCTAACCTAATGTTTGTGATCACATTTGTTTTAACCAGTGTCCTAGTTGAATCAAATTTAGTTTCTTCATCTATTTAATTACTTCTAGTGTCGATTATGTTTTTGTTGTTTCGTCTGTTTTGGTTGCATTGATATTCCAAGTGTTAGAATTCTTTGATATTCCTTGAGACCGCTATTGCGTTACGTTTTTTGGAGTGTTAACTGAAATTCATGATTCAGTTTGAATGTCTTATCCATTATATTTGTTGGTGATCGATTCATTCCTTTTATTTTTAATTATTGATTGAAACCCTAGATAACAGCGGGCTATACGTAATTTTCTGCAGAACCGGTTTCTGCCACCATGAAAGGTGGCGATACTGCTACTAAAGGAACTCGCTTCAACACACTATGCCAGTCCGTTGGAGCACCCTCCAAATCCGATCATCTGTCTCATCACTCGAATATCAAAATTATCACCAAGAGTCCAATCACATGCTCTCACAATTGACAATCTTCCTGACACTTTATTGGTTGAAATCTTTCGCCGACTTCCTCGGGATTCTTCTGGTCGATGCAAGTGTGTGTCAAAGCGTTGGTTCACTCTCATCCGGGATCCTTTTCTATGCCTCAGCAGACAGGAAGAAGAATTCATGTTTCTTACCTTGAATAAAGATTTTAAGCCGCAGGGAATTGAATCTTTTGTCATGTCTGACCATTCTGCCAAATTCAAGACACGCAGGCTTCGTATGGATTTCCTTCCTGGCTTTCACTCAAGTATAAGAGACCGGTTTGAGATATTAGGGACGCATGATGACTTATTTTTGTGCTGCATTGGATTTTATCAATCGGGTAATTACTACAAATGGATTTGAAAGAAAAAGGGGATAATTGCAAATGGTGTTTGGTACACAAGATTTTGTTCGACCAAATGGATTTGGCCATATCTCTAAGCCAGCACTGGGGGAATCGAATTATGCCAGTAGCTGTCCACCCAAATAATTGTTGGTATATGGTCCAGCCCATGATGAATGTTCTAGATTATTCTAGTAAGCAAGTGAGGTGGCTGGAGCATGCTAGACAATTCTAACATGTTATTAAGTTGATGGAAGAAGCTAGAGAGTACTAGTTTCCTTGGTTGCAAATAGAAAGATCTAGAAGCTACAATTTTGTGGCTAGTCTAGAATTATCTATGCTAGAGGTTTGAAGAATACACTAGAAACTAGTAGAATGTCAAACCCTCACCTATAAATATGGGTGTGATGTTGTAGTGAAGTAACCAATTAAGAACCAAGCGTGAGTAGCAAAGGATCAAGTCCAAAGCTAGAGTTCCACTCCAAGAGTGAGAGTGAGAGTGTTCCACTACACATTGTGTGAGTGAAGTTTAGAGTGATAGAAAGTGTGTGTTATACTTTCTTGTATCCATCAAGCCTTGTCTTTGGCTTGGTAAGACTACTCTTGTTGTACTCATCTTTTTCATATAGTGAAGATTGATCCTTGTTTGGTGAACGTAGGCATAAATTGCCGAACCACATAAATTCTTGGTGTCCATTTTCTACTTTACCTTGTGCATTCTCTATCTTGTAGTACCGACATTCCTAACAATAATGAGGATGTCTTGTATCTACGTGTGAAACCTTGTCATGTTCAACACTCGTACAAGAGCGTTAGAGATAGTTAGGTAGAACAGCAGTTCACAAGCCGTCCAAGTTTTGCTCCCATGGCTGCCAACATCCATACCTAAACTAGAGGAGCACACTCTGACCAGAAAGAAAAGGAAATTGAAGAAGAAAAACAAAGTACGTAGAGAGTAGCATACCATCTCCGGAGTAGATTAATTGGGGTCGGCCGGGCTTCTCTGCCGATATGAAGTGTGTAGTTTAGTACTTTTTCCTAAAATTTGACTCTTGGTTTTTTCTTTACTACAAAAAGAATAATTGATTCTTTGCGAAATGAGAGATTCTTTAATTGTTGGGGTATAAGAGAATATTGTGGAGCACATAAGGATTTGCAATTCTTGTAATAGCAATGTTGAGTTTTCAGTTTACATAATTGAGTTCTTCATTTTCCATTTTTTGGTTATTAGTGAATTGATTTGTTCTTTCAAATGTTAGTGACTGGGAATTGGTTGATTTTCAGTAATAATATAAGCAGTGGCTGGAAATCATATACCAAACACAAAATTGGAATTCATCATCAATATGGTTGTGGGTGCACGATGTATCACAAATGTAGTCCCATGAAGAAATTTACGTACTTTCCAAATCCAAAAATTCAATTATATAAGGAAAAAAAAAGTTCGAATAAGTGGGTATATAAGTAAATGACCAAAAAATGACCCGTAACTTTAATCGTGCATGTGGTTTCGTGGGTGGTGAAAGGGAGACCACATCCAAAATCTTATCTCCAATCCGCATACCGTACCTGCTCATCTCTTCAGCCCAAGACACATAAACAACTAACCTACCCCACCCTTTATTTGTCATGCTAACCTGTCCATTTTCGGTCTCAACCCCCTCTCACACCAACTTCAATCCGGGTGTCTACCCAAGAACCTCTCATCTAATAGAAGTAGGAGGTAGGGTCCACAATATAAGGAGGTCTTATCTCTATTATAAAAGTTGTTTAGACCAAATACAGTCCTTAAAAAAATTTCTTCATGTAATTCTTGTGTGGATTTGAGTCATTAATCATGGGCACTTCTTTGGCTTGAAAGTAAGGGAGGAAACTTAAGAACATGTGTGCTTCGAATTTTGAAAGCTTAGACATGGATAAAAACTCATTTTTACACCGTGTTTTGGTTGTAATCCTAAAGTACGAGAGATTTTTCAGTATGCCCAGAATTTCTGGTCTCAGAAATGTAGATAATTATTATTGACGAGGAGAGCGAAATGCCAACCAATGCTTGGACGTGTATTTTCATCGAACAAAGGATTTCCAAGGGAGAAGAGACAAAGACTTTAAACCAGTACTAGTAAAACGTCTGGAAGATCATCAAGGGTATTCTTTACAAGCGTAATCGCCACCCTTCATGGTGACGTAATTAAGGCATCTGATGGTATTCTTTACAAACGTCAGGGAGATCATCAAAGGCATCTGATAGTATTCTTGACACTAATTTTGATACTTTACAAGCGTATTCGCCACCCTTCATGGTGACAGAAACAAAATCTGCGGAGAGAAGATTGAAGAAAGGAATTTGGGCTGCGTTGTTTGCTTGGCCGAAGTTTTATATGCAGTAAGTAATAGGAAAGAATCAAGTAAGAATCCCAACGCAAACAAAACTGGAAGTAGATAATCCTAACCCTAGTAGTTGAATTTTTAGGGCTAGCAAACAAAACTGGATGTTGTATTTCTTTTTTATAAAAGAAGAATATTATGTGGGCTATATATTCTCTGCACAAAAGCTAATTATACGTATGTCCGCGAACCACTTGAATTCCAGTCATCCTTGCTTCGATTCAAAGCAGCTGCAGAGCTATACTTCAACAATTTTCGCGTGCAGACCCTTTCTGAACTGGTGAATGGAAAGATTCAGTTGTACCATGCTCGCCAAACATTAATTTCCACGATACTTTTCATGGCTTTGCTTTCAATGGAGTGCTGTATTGGTCGATTAGTTCCGGCTTTCTTATTGGGTTGGATCTGTTCAACAACAACGCTGGTACTACTTCTAGTACTATAGGTACTATTGTTGAGGACGACAAGCATTGTCATTTTTTTAAGCTTGATTCCTTTAGCAGAAAAGGACCACAAATTCAATGAGTGCATAAGTGTATCCCAAGGTTCCTCTAGGTAAACTGGCTTCAGAAGATGAATTGATTAGTGATGTACTACGCAGATGGAGCTTGTACGAGATTAAGCTGCTAGCTCTTGGCCCGAATAATGCAGATATCATGTACCTAACTGTGAAGGGATACAATCTCATCATGTACTGCAACATTCGTACAGAGCGGTAAAGATAACTAATACTCCAAGTTCAACTGGTGCTGTTATTAACTGCAGGAGAGTAAAAACCTTCCCATTTACGCTCCCATGGCAGCCCACAGCCATACCTTAACTAGTGGTAGAGTAGGTATATATCGACTGGCCGGACCACAATTTTCTTTTAGTTTCTAATTTTCTGCTTATGAATGATTTATTTTATTTTATTTGTTCTTCAACTTGATCAGCTGACCTGACATTTGATTTTGAGGATTATAATGGCACTTGATTTGATTAAAACCCTAATTTCTACTTAAGAAATATTCATCAAGATCAAGATGGAAGAGAGTATTTTTACTTACCGCCACATTAATGTCGTTAAATAAATTTAAATTTAAATACTTTGCAGTAATCCAGACTGTAACTAGTGCTTATTGTCAATTTGAGGCATCAAGCAAAAAATGCTCTGGCCCATGACCTGACTCAAGACCAATTGTTCGTCTTGAGAATGTAAATAGCATCAGATGTAAGGAATTTCACATGTAAATCGTAACGCTATGAATATCACATGTATATATATATTATGTGGGCTATATATATAGCATAAGATGACACACCGTCCCTGTTATATCTATTCTCTGCACAATAGCTTTTCCTTACATGTAACTTGAGGTTTTTTTATTTTTTATTTTTTTTAATTGTAACGCTATGAATTTCACATGTAAGGAAAAGCTAAATAATCGTCATACCAAACTAAACGGTTAGTTCTGCATGATCAATATTCGTTTTTTTATCAACATCAAGACTGGGTGCATGATAATGGCAAGATTTTTCAGTATATATGGAATAAGGCACATACGACAAATGTTATTATACAAGTGGAGGGATAATTTATAAAAAATAAAAAAAAAAAAAAAAAAAAAAAACTCCTTCCACTTATATAATGACATTTGACACACCGTCCCAGTTCGTGGCAAATTAAAAAATCTCTCATGATATTGGTATGATAAACTAAAACTCATTAACATATAGAATCATGGGAACTTTAACGAAAAGTTCATGGTACTGTTTTCTTTAACGAAAAACTATATTTTTATTTTAAAAAGTTAATTCTGGTACTATTCATTTACAACAAATTTTTATTCAAAGTTTTCAAACATTTTTTATTAGTTTTCTTTAAAATCAATGACCCAATTCTAATGGGGAAGGGCTAACATGCACTACGGCAGACGACCAATAATATAAGGCTATACGATTGTATCATGGACACTATGCCCATGACATTTCGGTTATTAGTTTGGGCCCGGCCCAAGAGGAGTTTGAGTTCATGCGGCCCAAAACCTTCCGATAATCCTTTGAAGAGTTTAGATAAAACGTAGTCCGAGTCATAGTAGCATTATCCGATAACGGCGGAGTTTGGCGCCTTTCCTCCCCCGAGAAACCACCGAGAGCAAATGGCGTTGGAGCGAGCAACTCCGGCGGCAACAAGCGCAACCTTCCTCGCAAACCCCCAAGTTCCCGCCTTTTTCCCATCCACCAACCACTTGGCCTTCGCACGGCGCCGTTTCAATCTCAAATGCTCGATGGAGTACAGTAGAGACCAGTACAACGGCAACGGGAGCAGCATTCAGGTGCCGATAGCGTACCCTAGACCGGTGGAGGTTCAGTGGAAGAAGGAGCTGTGCAATACGGTGCACCTCATCGGCGTCGTCGGTCTTCCCGTCGAAATTAAGCACCTCCCCTCCGGAAAGGTCCTCGCTTGGACCCGCCTCGCCGTTAAGAAGTCCGCCCCCGACACCTCTTGGTAATAATTCTTAAATTTATCAATTTTTCGGGTTTATTCATATTTTACAGTTGATGGTATCGTTTCCAGATTTTAAATTTTGATGATTGATGCTTAGTTGTTTCACTCTGGTGCTTCCAATTAGTGTGGTTTTGCTCTGATTTAATCATATTTTTTGTTAGAGACAATGTGAAACGTTAAATGGTTGTTTCGCATCACAAAGTTCTTCGCAAAATATGCACACATAGAACTAGTTACAAAGTTTTAAACAAAAACAAAACTTGGTAGACACTAAACGGACAATGAATGGTATCTAAACCCCAGTTTTGGGGTGCCGTGCCGTTATTGTTTGTAAAGTTTTTAACCGTTTCTAATTTCGCATAGTTCCGAAGTTTTTCAGGTAATCCAACTTCAGTAAAACTGTAAATGCTACTGTGGGTATAAGGAGTATAGGAGACATTTAAATATGAAAATTGGGTTTCTTTTTCTTTCAGGATTAATCTGACATTTTGGGATGAGCTAGCACATGTTGCTTTTCAGCATGTAGAGAAAGGCCAACAAATATATGTAACGGGCCGTCTGATATCAGATTCTGTTGAAACCGATGAAGGGAAGCAGCAGACCTACTATAAGGTTTTTTTGGCTTCTGGTCTTTCTAGGTGTAGTGAAGTCTTCTGTTTGTTTGTTTGTTTAGAAAATGAATTTGTCCCTAAATCTCATGCAGGTAGTTGTTCAGCAACTGAATTTTGTTGAAAAGGGCTTTTCATCGCCGGCTTTGAAAGATCACGACTCTGATTCATTTACAGCAGGCAAGTCGTACCTTCAGTAACATGAGTTTTGATAAGAGCAGGGATAGCATTCGTTCTTATTACTGTTATTCTTTTCTTCCAGGTAGAAACCTTGGCAACAATGCCACAAAGAACATAACGGAAACCACACAAGAATTATGGCAAGCCTTCTTTGCTAATCCAGTTGAATGGTGGGATAATAGGAAGACCAAGGTACTTTATTCAATCACTATATTCTTTCATTCTTGAGCGTAGGTGTGCATCCTATGCAAGGCCGGCCCTGATAAGTAGTTCCAATTGACAGTAGTTAACAAAATACTTTCATATGTTTACTTGTACATGTAAACAACGATGATTCCTTTCCTTGTTTGTCTCTATGGGCTTTCCATTTGTTTGGTTAATAAATATGAACTTCAATAGGGATAAAGGAGCCAAAGAACGAACATTACAAAAGCTTGGAAACATAAAAGTGATTCCTCTTATGCATATGTAGGCCCTATAAAATAGCCTTGATTTGAGGTCCTATATAAACGATTTTGGTAGATATATGATTATAGACTATCTGAACTTTTGGGTGCCCTAGAGCAAGCTCCGGTTGCAACCATCCAGGGCCGGCCTTGGTCCTCTGTTCACGCACAAATGCAAAAATGCTGCTGGTGCTGCAATGATGAGGAGAAACTGTGTTTTTTTATTTGGCCCTACATTAAATGCGTGAAGATATTTCCCCACCTAAAATATCAAACCAAAATTTGAAATTACAGTGCCTAAAAACTAGCATTATACTACAAAATAGAAAGAAAACTACAATGGATGAGATGTGATGATATGTTATACACTGTTTCTAGACATGCCGAGAATCAATGTTGAAATAGAAATGATTGAATGGAACATTTAGATTTGTTATTCATGCTTGGTGAATGCCATATGTGCACCTGTAAAATTTTCATTTTATGTCACCTGCTGTTTGTTCAGATTTCTGATAAGAATATGCGAACGAAAAGACGCATGTTCATTCGGTTTCGTTTATGATTTTCAGAGGAACCCAAAGTATCCGGATTTTAAGCATAAAGATACTGGAGAAGCCTTGTGGATTGAAGGCCGGAACAATCCGCAGTGGGTGAAGTCCCAACTGGCTATACTGGATACAAGAATGGGAACCCTTGATGACCAAGATCATAACATTCATACAAATATATTTGCCGGTGATAGTTTTTCGCCTTTCTAAGTGCTTGAGGTGCTAGCTGTAGGAAACCAGAGTTCAAGGACTAATTTTTGTATAGTCTATCAATTTTCGGTGGAGATACTGAACAATTCGGCTTTGTTTCTATAGTTTGTATCCTAGATTTGCAATTTATATGATATGCTGGTGATTTGTTTGCTCTTCATCCTTCTGGAACTTGGCAATAACATTACAATTTCGATTTTTGGCATCGGACATCATACGAGTTTAATTACAGGAACACCAGAAAGCATCGATCTAACGATAACGATGGAAGAACGGTACAGTAGAGCTCAAACAATTAATGAAAATTGCCATTAACGAATAGTCTGAAAAGTAGAGCTCAAACAATTTTATATATATATAAACTAATATTATTAGGACAAATGGAACATTTCACCCTCTCTGTACAATTTGGATCTCAGCTAAGTTTCTTGTTCCAGTACCTTGTTCTTTAAGCAAACATCGAAAAAATGAAAATGTATTATCTGAGCTACATGTATCTGTGTCTTTTCCTGTAGTTTTAAGGAGTTTTAAATGTCTCCTTAATGTATGTATTCATCCGTCTTACTGCATGCCTTCAGAAACAAGTGCTCAATCCTCTGGCTTCAGATCCCTTCATGATTCTCAGCCTTTTGCAGGAAGAAACAAACATACTGCAACCACAACAAAAGAAGAGTCATTAGATGCGAGTTTTTTCAGAGATCGAACGGATCATCTGAATACCGAAAAGATATAGAGATTTAATCGAAAAGAGTGAACTTACTTCCATGGCACATCTCCAACAAGCATCCAGTCGCCGTCTTTGTCTTCATATGTCGGAGCAAAATCGGATCCATTAATATTGGCTAGGTTGAACATCTTCTCTAAGGCCTTGATGAGTTCGGGGTAGCTATTGTAAACCTTGAGATCAATCTTCCTCAGATAAGGAGCTCCGTCGACGCTTACTTTCACGTACGCCTCTCGCAGTTGCAAACTGTTTTTCCTGTAAGATCTGATTGGAGGCCACCCTACTACCTGTGTCCTGCTCACATTTATTCAATCATAAATTAGCAACATAACCACTTAACTAAACCTTCTTAATCAATTATTAACATAAAACTCATAGTCCATGTATGAACATTGCTTACTTGGTGGGAGGGACATCTATGGGATCAGAACTTGTACTGCACTCCTCAGCCGCTGAATCCGGCGAAGCCCTCTTGTTATTCTTAGCCATAGGAGGAGACGGTGCTGCTTTTTTGTTCTCAGGCTCTTCAGAGCTTCCAGGCAACCCTAATCTTAGCTCAGTTGCCTTGAAATTTAGCTGGTCTTCCATCTTAATCACTTTGCTAAATAAACCCTAATGCTTTTGCAGATTGCAGACTGATTTGCAGAAGGATAATAGATAAACAGAAAGGTGTGTTAAGGGTTTCTTGTGAGAGATTTTGAACGTTTCAGTCAGGTGGAGTTGAAGTTTGATTCGTTTTCCTTGAGGTGGAAGATGTGATGGCACTCAAAACTTCTATAGGATGTGTTGTGTGAATATTGTGAGAGAGATAATATAAAATCTTTGGTGATTTTTATCTTTTCATGGTGCATGGCAGCATGAGATTCACTCATTATTTGATAAATGGTAATATCACATGCTTGTCCCCCACGCGTTAGTTCAGTGACCTACCACAGGTGGACAATTGGACATACCGGAATTTCAAAGCGGGGCCTACGCGCTCTATCGTCGATTACTTGATTTGTAATGCTATACAAACCACTTTCGTAAATAAAATTGCAGACAACATCTCTAATAAAAATGAAATTTGAAGAATAAATTTTGCTCTCTCTTCACTCCTCTTTTTATTTCAGTTATTGGATTGAATAAATAAATTAAAAGGAAAACTAATGAAAATGTCTTGAAAACTTTGAACTTTAACTATAAGGACAAAAGTACCAAAATTGACTTTTAATGTTAAAATGTGGTTTTTCGTTAAAGTTCCTAAATTAAAAGAGTCGAAAAATATAAACAAGAGAATAAGTGATGAAGAAGAAAATGTTAGTGAAATACTACTCAGTTTGTTCTTATGAGTTATTTTTAAAACTAGTGTTTGATAAACTTGTTTATACGTAAATGTTCGACTATAAACTATCAATGCATTTGAGACCTAAAACATGTCTGCTATAAGGTTCTCTCTTCTTGTAAATGACCTAAACATATCTCCTCAATATTATTATAAATTCCATATGCAAAATCATTTCTTTTATCGATTGGTTGTGGGTGGTGTGATTGAGTTCTTGATTTAGGGTAGACAAGTGAAGATATGGATGCTACTCACATGAGGAACACCGTGCAGTTTGATGCCCGATTGAAGGGGACAAGGGAGGGACAACCATAGCCGATGCTATTGAAGACCGTGGACTAATAATGGACGGCTGTGATCGGCAGTTAGAGTAGGCTTTGGGACTGTTCCTACAGCGCCCTTGGATCAGGAGGATGGAACGGAAGAAAACAGCCCATGTGACTACCATACGGTCCCACGTGGCTGTTGTGCATTGAGTAGGCATGGCCATGTGGGCTGAGATAAGTGGGACCGGAGATTTAATTGGAATTGGATCCTCTCCTCAGCCCAAGGAGAGGATCATGTCGTTGGATTTTTATTGAACGGCTATAATTATTATAATTTTAAAGAAATCTTCTTGTTTATAGCTGTTAGATAAAAATTCAACGACTCACGTTCCTTGATCAGATCCTCTCCTGAGGATCCAATTCCGATTTAATTGGCTGTGTTACATGACATGTGGGGTTCCATGTGGTATGGTCAGCTTACCTTTCCCCTTCACTCTTTGCTTTACCTCCTAATCCATGAGAAAATTTTTCTTTTGACTGGAACACAGGTGTTACATTACATGTTATTATATAAGTGATGGAAAATTTTAAATTTTAATTTATTAATATTTTAACACAAGTATTTCACCACTTATATAGTAACACGTGATGTACCATCCAGTGTTCTAAGCACAATAAAAAATCTCTCCTAATCCAGCGTATTTCTGATGGTAGATTGTCATAAACTAATACATAAATATAATACAATATTATGGGGTGTACTCAATTGAGGTTTTGAAGGCTTTAAAAGAGTTATAAGTCCTTGAAGTTTGATGGAGTTCTAGTGGAGTTTCACAGACTTCATGTGAATTCATTCAAAATTTTAGAGAGAGGGACCTGATTTCCTAAAACTTATAATACACTATAAAATTATTCTAAAGCCATCAAAATCCTTAATTTTTCAAAATACTTTTAAATCAATTCCTAATTAAATACACATAGAGTTTTATGGACAACTTTAAAATTCTGATTGAATATATCCAATTTCTATGCAGTTTTATGAACTTCTTTAGAATTTTGATTCAATACCCATGGACTTCCATGGATTTATTTAAAATCTTTGACTGAATACTTAAATTTGTAAACTCTTTTAAATATTTTAAACTCATAATTGAATACAACGGTGTAAACACATCATTGTTTTTTTGATTCACAATATAATACATTACAAACACATGGTTAACTTTTCTAACGAAATATGTATCATATTTTTATTGGAACGATTTGTTAAGTAATCTAATCTAAGATGAAGGAAATTTGAGCTCAAATAAAGAAGATATAACACTTTAAACAATATAGCTATGTTTTGTTTGTTTGACACAAAAAATTTAGCTATGTTCAAGTCCACACACAAAAGTATATTTTATTCTTACACTATAATAACATCTATACCCTTAGGAAATAAATGAGATGTGATCCCAATATGCATGGGTGTGAATTTTGAACACTTCTCTAATCATCCAATTTGAGCCTTTTTAAGAAGACGAAAATATAATATAAGATGATGAAAATGACCACATTCGTGCATATAATTATTCGCACAGTTCCAAGAACTAGAACTAACGCATGATTCTAATTAATTTTATGACAAAAATGTATTAGAAAGTAGAACTTTGTCTTGTATCTGAAGCAACAAATTTTACATGGATATTTGATTTGCGAAGTTGTTTAATTTTAACTTCATCATCTTTTTCCCATAGCTAGCTACTTATTCCCAATGTTGAATCTATTGGATATATCAGTTTTTTTAGGGGTTGCACAATGACTGATATATAGATGTATAGAGGGGTAATATTAGGGAGACTAAATTAAATCACATGAAGGTTGATGATTCGATTATTACTTAAATGTTGATTAACGTATTTATTTTTTATTGGTGACACATCATTTAGTTTGCAAATTTAGTCTACCTAGCATTGCCCTAAAAGAGAGTTGGGATTTTGGGATTCATGCTTTTGACACACGTTTTGAAATTCATTTTTAGGGACTATTTTGTAATGTATTTCAAAGATTCGAACCGTCTATATTTTACTACATCGTTCATGGATCATCATTGCAAACAATTAGACAAATCTAAAACCACTACAATATTTCTTTGTGGTAAAGAAAATGGACGAATAAGATTCTACAATTAATAAACACTAAGGCCTTGTTTGGTACGCCGTATATAGCATCGGATAGGACTATTAATACGGAGCTGAGTGTTTGGTGTGCTTTCGTATTAAATTGGACCGGACTAATTTAATCTGATCCACTTATTTTATACGGCATATACCCTCTTATTAAACCAGTCCAAAAGGGGCGTATAGATTAGTCGGGTCCCTTTCTTCTCTCTCGCGCGAAATGAGCGCGCTCTCTCTCTCGCCTTCCCTCGCCATCCCCGATGTTCTCTCCGTCTCCTTCTCTCGCCGGCTATGTTCTCCCCATCTCCTCCGGCAAGCTTTGTTCTCCCCGTCTCCTCTCGCCAGCTCTATCCTCCCTCACCTTTGTTGTCTAATAATTGGAGACGTGAGAGACCACTGGCACCACCACGGCACAAATTCGAAAAGATTCATCTGGGTTTTAGAGCCTTGACTGGGAATAGATGATAGGATTTGAAAATTCAGAAAGATTACATCTGGGTTTTATTTGATTCGGAAAGATTTCATCTGGGTTTATAATTTCTTTAATTTCTGGGTTTTTAATTTCTTTAATTACTGGGTTTTAAAGATTTCATCTGCTTGAGGGTGTATTTCAAACCTCTTTGGGCCAATAACAGGTAAGGAGAAGGGAGTGAGGTTGTTTGTGGGGCACGGTGCGGCAGAAAGATCTGGGGAAGAGATAGATTTCATTTTTTTTTTTTGTTTAGTAATTTGATTTAAACAGGGGAACAGATAGATTTCATTAAACAAACAAAGATTTGTCATTTTTTTTATTTCCTTGTCCTATCCGGTTCAATACCAAACACCGTATAAATAATACGATCATTAGTCTGATACTGTACCAAACGCTCGACTAATTTAGTTAGTACTATCCGGTGACTATTTATCCTATCCGACAGAAATAGTCAGTACGGTCCGAGCTGCCAAACGAGGCATAAACTTAATCCATCAATCATATGGTTTCGGATTTGGGTATTTTTGGTAAATATGATCTTGAGATAAGAAATAAAAGATAGACGGTTAATTGTTAAAATACATTACGAAGTGGGCCATACAAAAATGTGTGTCAAAAGCAAACGTCCCATATCCAATACACACACACACACACACATACATACATACATACATACATTACATATACATATAATATATATACTACTAAGGGATCCCTAATTTTTTGAAAAAAAAAAATGGGGATCAGGTGTGAGGCCTACTCCACATCGAACTTCAACGATCCGAACTGTTTATTTTGTAAGTCTCGTTTCATAGATCATCCTTACAAAAATTTAATCAATCCGAAACCATTTGCCTATTTAATTATCAAAATAAAATTTCATTGTTTCTTATATAACAAAGTATTCGTTAATTTCTTTGAACTCAATTAGATGTCTTAAACATTTCCGATTTGGCTAATACTTTGCAAGGATTATCTATGAGGTGCAACTTAAAAAATAGACGGTTCATATCATTAAAGTTTGATGTGGTGTGAACTCCACAACTAATCCCCATTTTTATAAATAAATAAAAAATATATCTATATATATATATATATATATATATATATATATATAGGAATCCCTTCCCTTAACGGTTTCCTACTACTATAATTACCATTCCACCAAAAGGTTTTACATATTCGAGTTTTTCTCCATCAATTTTTGGGTAAAGACCATGCATGCTTTATCAAGGATTCACAAAATAAGCAATTTAAAAAAAATAAATAAATAAATAGGAGAAGAAGAAGAAGTTGAAGAACGGCCACCGACACGACCTAGCTAGATGGTTCGAAGCAGCTGGTTCGAAGCAACTTCTGGACTC